TTCACACACTTTTGATACATCAACTCCGGAAAACGATGCACAAAATTAAACCCATACAGTACATGACCCACAAACACATGGTGGATAAGCTCTAGGACTGAGTTACAAGTCTTTCTACCTGTACACTGTACTGACTTGCACAGCAATTTTCCACTAAAAACCAAGCTACATGTGTGTACATTGGTTTCAACCTTTCATGTGTTTGAACATGTTGTTTGTGTAGCAGAAACTATGGATGGATTATTCAAAGAGCACTCGCTGAGAGATCAGTCACATTGCTTTTATGGACAAACGTTATTGAACAGGGACGTAGTCATTATTACCCATACAATGACTAACATGGCAGCTTCTCTAAAAGCATAAAAAAAATCATCTTTTGGGGAGTTCAGTTCCACAGGGAGAATGCTCAGAGTAAAACAAAATGCGTCGATGAGGGTGACAAATCTAACGATTTGATAACGTCACAATACTGCTCTCACTCCCAAGAGTTTCTTGACCTTGCGGCTGTAATAGGAGGTTATGTAGCTCAAGAACAAAGAAAAATGGGTGAAGTAAATTAGCTGTCAATCTTGGCACATGACTGCAGCCATCTGCCTGAAATTCATCAGGACTTTCTTACAAAAATGTACACCTGTACTCTGGTTGGAATGGTTTAACTGTATCGTACAATCCAGTGTTGATCATCATTGCTGATGTTAAAGCCATTCCAAGTCACTCTTTACTGTCTGCACCTCTTTTACTTCACAGCTAAGTTTGAATAAGCACAGCCCTCATGCACACGGGTGCATTTGCCCTGAATTAATAAAACAGTTGTATAATTGCAGAGCTGTAGTGTGACGTCATCAAGACAGGCTTCTATTGGATACTCCCTAACGACTTTCGGGGAATAATTTTCAGCAAAAAAAGTAGAAAGTATAGTAGATTTGCATAGCAAATCTACTATACAAAATAATTTTTTTTTTCCATGTAATCGCAGTGCAAATTGACAGCACACAATTACGACATAAACGTATACTTCATGTAGGTGGGAGTAGGCCTACTCACATAATCCATCAATGTGAAAGTCTAGACTAATTAGCAGCTGAAGGCCCATTCATGTACATGTAAGTATTCCTCCCTGCACAAACTGTGGTATGGAGAAACATGAGTTTCCTTAAAATTTATTCGTTCATCTTTCATGTTTGATACCGGTTGGAAAATGGCACAATTAATCAATAAGCTGGTCCAACTGAGTTTTAGTAAGCACCCTGGCAGAGTGCCATTCTCTCGTACTAAATGATTTCGCCCGTAAACGTCACAGGGACAGTAAGTTCCTTCCTTCAACCAATCACCATCAATGAAATTACTATGCCACAATACAACATGAATACATGTATACATGTACATCACCCCAACATGCCCAACGTGCACAGGATTCTGATGCATCATTCATATAAGTTTGGGCAATGGCTGTTTCTTAACCACTCGACAATTTTGCCTGGTGTCATTTAATGCAAAAAGTACACACCCAAGTACATGTACCAGGTAAAATTCACTCATGTTGAAGTCACAGCCACATGTAAACAGTCTTTGCGCGAGCAGCGCTTTCCGGTCATTAAAGCTCCACTGCGCCATGCATGCAATAACCAATGGGCTTAGTACCCAGACACAAGAGTATTTTACAGTTTGAGTATGCATTTTCCCTTGTGTGGAAGGGTGCCCTGCTAAACACATCGATTTTGATTTTACTCGCCATTTTTTGTAGTTGGTCTCTTATTTATGTATTTTCTGCGATCATGAGTTTAATTTGAGGTTGTTTGCTTGTACTTGAGTCAAGCGCGTTTCAACAAATTTCCTGCCGTGGCACAAAGTTTATCGCCCGCTGGTCTGGATGCACCATGCACGCTTACCACGCGATACACGGGCATTAACTGCTGGCCAATTGCCGTCGTGATTGCCTGAGTAGCACTGGGTGAAATGTCCATAATTCTTTTGAATTGTCGATAGTATAAATTTTAACATAGATTAAGACAGGTGTTCATCACTTTTTGAGATAATTTGGGAAGCTTTCATGCCCATTGATGCCATTCAATCAGCACAAAAAATTTCTCCCAAAACAAAAAAAATTTCTTATTTACCGACTGATTGTGTGATCGGAAGCACAACTATTTTTGTGGCCAAATAAAAGAATGCGTGCATGAAGAAGGCGTAAGTTGAATAACCATAATTATCGTGGATTCTTCTTCGAATTGTGGAGATCTTGGGCAAATGTTTATCCGATTCGGGTAAGCAAATTTATGGCATGGCTAAAAAAAAATTTGTCGCGGCCCAAGTCTGGTTGAGCACATGCCTGTGAACAGGTATGCGTGGGCTCCACATGTGCACTGTACTTCCTAGGCCTTGAACATGAACAGTACGCTTAGTCTCCCCATAACTTTGTGATTGCATTATATAAAATGGTGCAACCTCAAAACCCGACACACTGGATGCCTTGATGAGGGTTGCTGCTGAAGGTCCTCCAAGAGGTGTATTTGATTTCCATCAGATATTCAAATTGTGGTCTGATGAAAATCCTAGAAGATATTTGGTACATGTATCTGAATCATTCATATGTGTATGTATTCTTCACATGTACTTACATGTACCTTGGAAATATTAAACGTCCAGCAAAACCTGTGAAATATGAGATGCATTCCAACAAACGTTGGAAATATGAGATATATGGGATGTAGTTTTTATAAAATGTTAGTCTGTCTTTAAATACTGATCCATTTGAAAAGCAGTTCACACAAATTGAAATTAATGAGAGTGAATGTGAATTAGAGTGAATGACATGTCTTTTGTTTAACTCTATTTTCAAACAAATTTTCCAGCCAAAATACATAATGTTGGCTCATAAATTTGGAGAATGGCTATAAAATCAAACATTTGGCTACAACTTTGGCAATTAATTGAAGTTTTCCAGCTGGAACCCTGGTATCTGATTAATTGTGAGAGGTACTTTTTAATTTCATGATTATGGTTTTAATATGTGTAAATATTATCACCTTTCACCACATATAAATCTGTGTAAAATAACCACAGGGATTTTCACTCTTCGATAAATTTTATTGGCTAGGATTTCAACAGGTTGTTCACGTCTGTCAAAAATGCTGACATTTGAGACTTTAATTAATTAACTCTAATTAAGTTGAAAGATGGGCACGATCATCATTGTTCCAGATATCACTGCTGTTCACTTCAGGAAAAATGAACCCCCCCAAGTTGAACATTATCTAATGGTTCATACTTTGCAGAACCTGCCCAATGCGTTTATCAGGGACTCTAGGAGTTTTTGCAACCCAAGGTCACAGCGAGGTGAAACGAGTGTCATTTCAACATTTAATTTATTTCTTGGGAAAAACAGGTTACGAGGACAATAACTTCTTAGTAAACAAAGTAAGAAGCAGTTACAATGACTAACATGAATTCCAATCAGCTCCCGAAGGATCGCCCAAAAGAAATAAATTCTGTCAAAGGGGCTCTCCAGACTGATTGGAATACAAAACACATAGTAACTGGCATAATTACATGAAGTTAAATTAACCAAATTAAATTGAATAAAGTTAATAGAATAAGTTATTTGAATTTCATTTGCATAATTACCAATACATACAGTGTAACTATTAATAATAAAACAAGAACAACACTTCATTATACTAAAAACAAACATACAAACAACAAACAAGGGGATAAATACATGATTAGAAAGCCTGAGAGATGGGTTCAAGGTGTCAGTCACTTTACCCAATGCCACTTCGCCCTGAACCACTTCACCCCATCCCCACTTCGCCCCACCGATTATCGTTCATTCTGTTCTTTTGTAACAGAGGCATACACTTGTAGGCCTAGATGCAACAAATAAAAAACATCAACGTTTGAGTACCCAAATAACTGTTGGAGAATCCAACATGCAAAGGCCAAAACGATGCTTCCGATTTCCCGACCGACCCTCTTGTTCAGCGAGACCCTAAAATGTTTATTGGCAAGTTAGAAAAAACAAATTTTACAAATATAAGAAAGACAAATAAATCATGCTGTTGTCTTTTCTGTCTTCACAAATACCTCAGAACAACCTTTTTCTCATGTAACACTTGTATTTGCATATCTTCCCAGTTACCTTTGCAACATCTGAAAAGCAACTTCTGTTATTTTACAAGTTCTCTTTGTGTTTCGCTGTCTCTGTGGTAAAAACACGTGCGCAAAGCGCTGGTTCCTGCCATGCAAAAGAATGCATGATAGAAAGAGAAATCCTTGTTTATGCCCTGTTAAATGTCATGCAGAGCCAAGGATGAAAAAGGCTCATTTTCTGTGGGGTTCGTGGGAGCGGGTGGACGTCGGACCCCACAGTTCTGGGGGTAGTCATGGGGTGAAGTGGGGATGGGAAGAAGTGGTTAGGGGCGAAGTGGTTGGGGCGACGTGGAAATGGGGCAAAGTGACTGTAAAGCCGTGAAACCACTGTTGACTTGTCATAAAAGTAATGTAAGGCCTAAGTCCTAGCAAATGACAGATAGAATAGGCCTAGACTGCCAATGGGGAAGAGTTCCATATGGGCCTACAGATGTCAGTGACTATTCCTTGCTAATCAGCCTAGTGCTAAGTGAGGCATAAGCAGGTCGGGGACTAGCCCCACTAGTGTGGCAAGGATTCTTGCTACCGCTCCATCCTTAGCCACACATCCGTACATGTATATGCAATTTACGTGTCGGCGTAGCGAAAAAGTTCGGCGCACCTTTTTATAGTCATAGGCGCAATTTTTTTTACACACAGAAATTATCCTTAACCCCTCCACTTTCTAAGCGCCATTTATTGAATGATTTCAATCACGTTGTTCTGGTATTTTCCAGTCTTTTTGCTTTCACCCATTCAATCTCATGGGCTCGCTCTCACAGTCGCCATCTTTAAAATAAGGTCGTTGAACATTACATCACTTGACCCCTCATCTTGCAAGATTCAACCGAAAAATCTCCTCAATCTGCTTTTATAGATACCAAATGAAAGGAAATTTCCATTTAGATCTTGGGTACCACAACCCTTTAAACAGAAAAACAGTATTTGGTAGCCATTGGCTCCTAATGGGGAAACATCTAGGCACCAGCACTTTTATGACAATTTAGTAATTATGTGTGCTGAATATTCATGAACGTATGTACAGTACACACATGTAGTATAAATACCCTGTGTTTATATCATCTATCCATGTTAAAGAATCATGACCTTGCATACAAGCGCCAATGAGGTCAATCCACGAAATCAGGGTTTTCGCCAAGGGTTCAGCCACAGACGTTATGATGTCCATAGTTTCAGCGTGTCGCAGGACACCCAGCTGCATGAATTGCACTATTTCTGACACTCTAAATCACAGCGACATCCTTGAATTCTTACATGAGCTCCATTTCAGGTTTCATTTACGTTGCAGCAAAAAAGCAGCAAAAAATGGAGCCCATAGCATGCCATGGTTTGTAAAATGGCCCTGGTGTCCGTATACAGTGCATCAACAACATATGTTTCGATCGGGAACCAACCAAACCGTGCGGGTGATCACGTTACATGTACATGTAAAGTATGGTATATGTACATGTACAGCGCACTCGATGCGACTCGATGCGACTTGCGCTGCCAATTCTACTTTTCCGGAACGAACTTCGAGTACATAATCATTGCTCCTTTGATTTTTAAACATACTCAAAATTGTTCAAATACATTTGCATGTAGTTTTTAAGCTATCTTAAGTCGCAAAGGGTGACTGAATGGTGAAATATGATCGCATTAGCAAAATTCTGGTCACATTTGCGACTGATTTGGATACTATTTAAAGCGTTGCTTGGGTAGCATGTTTCCTGTAAATTTGATCAATTACTAAGAGCAATTTGTACTGAAGTTTTTGGCCGATAAAGAGATCGATGTCATCTGCAAACCGTGATCTAAAAACAGTTCAAAAATTACATTATCATTGCACAAAGAGCGACGTATGTATAGTCTGGCGTTGTCGTTGTCGACCAGATTAGAAAGCAAAAATTTGTCCAGAAAAGTTCAATTTGGAAGGGAAAACACCATGTCGTTAAGGCAGACCAGTCTCCTAAGTCCTAGGGTTGTGCACAGGGTGTCAAGTGGCGTCCATATCTGGAACTCTTTCAGTGCTAGGCCTTTGGCTTAGACCTATAGATCTCGGCCGGATGTAGACCCGTAAACAGGGCCTGACGAATACTCTTCCGTTGTGTACTGGGCCCTGTCCCGATTCATAGGGATTTCTTTCAAAGGTTTACCAGAATATCCAGGGGGTATAACTAAACATCTGCTTGATTTTATGAGCTGGAATTGCACTGGTACGTTCATTACTCACAGTGTAAACTTTCTGCTAAGTTGCTGATTGTAGAAAACCTGCCTTTCCCTCTTTTGGAGGAAAAAAATGTTGCCTTTTTTGGCCATTTTCTCACTCCGTATGAATGTTGGCCCGAATTGTACATTACATAGACTCCTTTGTATGGTTAAGTAACGGTACCCTTACGAAAGCCTGTCTAGTTTGCACCCAGATTTCAACACCTACGAATCTCTTTCAGATCTGCGAGAGTACCAGTCGATCTCAGTACTCGTAGAAAATTACGGCTGCTTTGTGTCGCAGCTAATACACAATGCCCATGGCTGGTTCCCTGTCCAGTAACACACTGTTTGCGGCAAATCATTGGTAGTGCGGCTCGCTCTCTGTGACGTGACACGAAAGTGACGAAACAGCAGTCAGTTTTGTGCAAGTGGGGAAAAATTTGCCCAGAGTGGGAAAACAGCTAAAAAAAGGCAACATTTGTTCCTCCAAACGAGGAAAAGGCGGGTTTTCTACATTTAGCAACTTAGCAGAAAGTTTACATTGTAAGTAATTAGGCTAGTAACAGTAACATACTGCTGCAATTTCAGCTCATAAAATCAAGCAGGTGTTTAGTTATGCTCCCGGATATCCTGGATAAACTTTTCGAAAGAAATCCCTATGAATCGGAACAAGGCCCAGTATACGACAGAGGAGTATTCGTTGGGCCCTGTTTACGGGTCTAGGCAGGATGTTACATGTATGTTTCCGTAGAAACTTTTATCACATATTTGGTGCAGTGCAACAGCCCTACAACCGTTAGGCCCAGGCTACATCAAAATCGCAAGAAAGACACAGGCTTAGGCCTTTCTGCCAGGTTGAACAAATTACAATTTCATGTAGGGCCTATTAAAAAATTTCTATGTTCCGAAGTATACAAACTCACCGCCTTTATGTAAGTGCGTGATTCGAGGGACCTAATTACATGCTGAAAATGACATCAACAACTCAGAAATTATGGCAACACTGGCACACATATCTTGACATTTGGTCATGTCGATAGTTGGTTCACTGCTATACTACTCGCTGAGCATCGTCATTTCTGCTAAATCTCAGCGGAACTTCAACTGAATACCAGCGAAGCAAAGGTTACCTGGGAATCGGCGAATTACATGGGTACTGGGGATATTCATGCACGACTGGCAAACATAGTCCCTATTTGTAACAATTTTTAAAAATGGCCAGAAATGCAAGACAACATTAAAAAATAGAGTTTCATAAATCTCTAAAATTCCGTATGGTTCTCAGTCAAAACAAAAAGCAGCAGGGGTCTTCTTCCGCGTTGGTGACGTTCTTTGGTTACAGTTCCCATGACGATAACAAGTAGTAGTACCGCGCCGCCGTATAAAAGGCTACATGTACATGTACTGTACATGCTGCACACTGTCACACAGAAGTACGAAAGCTTATAAAGGACACAAGCAACAACTGCCGCGGCCGCTATCTAGGAAGTATCCTATTGGAAAGCGTCGGGGAAGGCCTGTGCACTAAGTGGACCTTTGGGCGAGAGGTTTGACCTTTTGTCATACAATGAAATACACGTTGGCACACCTTTTGCAAATCATTTCTTCCAGCCAATTGTGAGAGCGAATTACAGCAGCATCTGAAGTTCCTCTCTAAAAATAGTGTAATAGATGGGGGGGGGGCCCCGTTGAGTCAGAGAATGATGAGAACCTGGCGTATATACCCACCGTATACCGGCTGTATTGCCTGCTGTCTGTACAGTCTAGATCTCAGTCACAGTCAGTAGATGGGGGAAGGGCGGAGACGAGCGAGGGAGAAGGGGGGAAATCCAAATTGTCAAATAACTTTCCTAATTATGCGGGGTCGAAAGGTAGGGGTGGGAAGGTTGAGGCAGTCCAGGCTCACGAGGAAGGTTTCACCATCAGAAAAAGAAGCAGACAACTAATAAAAGTGCACAGGCGCACGTATTAGTAAGTGACAGACCATGAAGAGAATTACTCGGGGAAACAGCTTCTGTATTCAGAACACAATTCAAAACTGTCTGATTTATTTCTGAAAGCACTTGGTTGTCTGTATCATATTTACCTCAAAAGAATTATTTACAATTAGTTCATCTCATTCGCGGGTCACAATAAGTGACTCGGATCGCTGCAGCTAGCCGGTTTGAAGGATTTATTGTTACTACGCGTGCGTCAGTAATTAGGCTTGGTCGGTTGGTCAAAATTGAACTTGTGCAAACTAGCTGTTACGCTGACCCCGAAAGACGCTAACCAATAAACTTTACAGCACTTCTCTGCCGACTTATTATATTTAGTCTCACAGCACTTCTTTGTTAGAACAACGTGTGTAGTGTGAGGTTGAACGTCGTGTTTGTGAGTGGTCAGGGCCAATGTCATTGATTATTAGCATATGATTTTTCCCTTGATAAAAACAGGATTGCCAACCGAAACGTTCATGCGTTGTATAATGCTTGTGACTGGTGTTCAGCTGATGGTCGCTTCTCATAAAAATGACATTGATGTTTGGCTGGGAACCTGTTTTCCTAAGCAAGACAACACTGTGCTGAGCAAATTTTGGTGCTTAGTAGCTTCATGAAATTGGCCCAGCGCTTGGTAGCGTAGACTACACGCAGCACTGTCTACACAAGTCTGCTTCCCAGACCCCGACAATGGGTGCGTTCGATTAGCTTACACGTGTAAGTCAAACTTACACCAGAGCGTTCGTTTAGCCATCACGTGATCCTCGTGCCTGCCCTGGTGTCAGCCACTACTACCCCAGCTGGCGAGCGGGTCTCTGGAGGCTGCCCGAGTGTAATGACGTCACGGATGGACTGTTCGTGCATGGACGTACATGATGGAACGTGGCGGTGACTTGACTTTTTTCCCAGAATGCCTTGGAAAACACACTGCAGCGTTCGATAAGCCTCATTTTGAGGCTTCCCTTGAGTGTAACACTGGTGTGATCAGGGAAGCTAATCGAACGCACCCAATCTACGTAGCGTGTGTGATGGGTGACAAATAGTTCTTATGGCAGGGAAACCAGTCTATATTTATCAAAAATTGTGACTAGACCCCATGCATGCGTGTTTTGCCTGAGTGTGTGGGATGATGTGATGTGATGCCTCAAAAAGTCACTTGACTCCAGGAGAAGTTTCGGTCTACTCTCAACATATGCACAAGACTTCTCTGCGTCTGTGCCCTGTGATTATTATTCAAACGCGCCTGTCTTAGGTTTCACAAAGTTATGTGGAGAACAACTTGTACTGTCAAAGGCTACTGGCTAATGATCACTCCGTCATTTACACAACTTCACAAGTTGGATGTAGGCCTCAGATGATGGGTATTACACAATAAACACAATAAGTCCCAGCCGTTAGCGTTAGATAGCAATCTGAAAATTATCAAAATAAATGGAAAAAAACACTTATCACATCATAACCCAAGGAAGACCATGAGAAAAGGAGGCCTAAACCTAGGTAAGTACATGTACCACGAACGTGGTACATTGCGCTTGTACATGGTGCCTTGTGGGTACCCCTTAAGGCCAGTTTTGATCCTTGTGGGGTACTAAAGTGGTACCCCACAAGAATTTCACGAAATACATATTTCAAATTTACTCAAAAAGAGGGAATTTTCAAGTGCCATTCATATGACGCAAAGTGAAGTGTTTTATGTGAGGGACATACGGTCGAAATTTCAACCCAGGAAACTGAATTTGGTTGAAATGGCAGTGGTTTGAATTTTTTCTGTGTTCAAGTTGTGTGGGAGTTTTGTACACGAGAACAAAGTAAAAATTCCCCACAAGTATACATTGTGAGTGTGTGTATACTGTATTAACGACTGGGCCCACGCCGCTAAGATGCAATCTATAAGCAAATCTCCAGGCTTTCACCCCAAGACGGGTCCTGATATGTGGGCGCTGGGACTGTTATTATCGAGTCGGTTGACGAGCACAAATTCAGGGGAATTCTCACTGGAGAAAAGAGGACGGTGATTAAATCTTGACTTGAGACCGAATGGGTTCCTCTCAATCATGAAATAACATTTCCGTGTGATTTATTGTCACAATCTCTCAGAAATCTTGCACATCAGTGAAACAGTGCCCTCTGTTACTTTCATAGAATAGTTGAAAGTAGAGTTGCATCAGTCCCTACCAGTGTGTCGTGAGCATTGAATTCTCCAGCATTACAATATTCCGATAGCGTATAATTAATTCAGAGTATAGTGAAGATGGCCATTTGGCTGTACAGTACATTCCAACAACAATTAAGAGTGAGACTGACTTAAAACCCCGTGACCCAAAGCAGGACTTCCCAAACTAGCACTCGTGGAGCCCCGAACCCAAAAGCGGAAATTCCCCCGGGGACTTTCCAATTAAAAAATAGCTCTACGCCGGGCGCTCCGGGAAAAATCAGATAAATTTTAAAAACTTATAATATAAAAGAGACATGAATACTCCACCAAAATCACAACGCCGCCCTTTCTTAATAAATTTTTGGCGTTTGAAAAAAATTGTTTCTAGCAGACTTTGCCAAACGATATAACGTTTCATTACCGGCACCCGCTAAAAAAAGTCACACTAAGCCGGAGCTAGTAAAAGCGACTCAAGCGACTCAACAGCAATTTAAAAATCTCACGAGACAATCATATCATCAGCTTTTACAGATAGTGCAAGACAACAACACAGAATTTACGGCCACGGGAGCAAAAGGAAAAACATTGCGAGCGGACTTAATTACCGCGATTAAAGCGTACATTAAGCCGCGGGCAATCGAAGAAGTGTACATTCAGAGAATCAGGCGATTTAGAGACAACTATATAAACTGGGAACTGATACCTACTTTCTACGCCGACGACTTGATCCACTTTTTCGATTTTTATAAGAAGTACATCGAAGACAAGGCACTAGCCGAGTTTAGGGAAATTGGCTCATACAAGTTACAAACGGCAATCAAGGTTCAGTTTAAAATAAAAAAAAACGGAGCAGAGACTAAACGCGGCGTTTTCACATTTACGAGTAAAAATAACACGGTCTTCTCTAAAAGGGGAATTAAAGAAGTTTTCACTCAACAATTCACAAAACATCTAGAAGACGTGGAAGCTCACAAACAGCGTGGGCTGGGTGTTTGAAAAAGAAGTCTCGTTTTATATCAACGTGGTGAAATTAAATCCAGTCGGTGCCACTTATATTCCACTTCCAAAATATTTGGTAGATAAGAAAGCAATTATCAATGTTCAAAATAAAGAAGACCAAGAGTGCATTCGCTGGGCGTTGAGAGCACCCTTAAAATTATATTCAGACAATGTCAAACATCAGTTAGAAACAAACCAAAATTACAAAATAATAACGAGCACACCTCAACTTACACGACAGCTGACGGTTTAAATTTCACAAACGTAAACTTTCAAACACCTCTGTCACAAATTCCACGAATCGAATTACAAAATAATTTAGCCATCAATGTATTTGGCTATACCGATAAAGAAGGCATTTACGTGCTTTATAAAACTAAACGCGAAAAAGAGCCCATCAATTTACTTTATTTCCCTATATTTGGAACGAGCCATTATTCCTGGATTAAGCACTTCTCTCGGTTTATGGGTGACGTTATTAATCACAACGGCAAATCTTATTGATGTTTCAAATATCGGTCACATTTTCCAACTGAAGAAAGACTCGGTAGACATCAAAAAGATTGCCAAGGAATAGATACAGCGGCGTGCAAGGTTACATTGCCCGCTAAAGGGAAAAATATTTGAAAATTATAAAAAATAAGCAGGACGCCCCTTTTATTGTCTACGCAGATTTCGAGTCTGTTTTGGAACACATGCCGCCAAAAGAACTAAACACGGTTAAAACGCAAGTTCACAAGTCCTGCGGTTTTTCTTACGCAGTTGTCAGATGCGATGGAATTTGCACCGGTCGCGAGACTTACAGAGGCCCGAATGCGGCAGTTAAATTTGTGCAGTCGCTTTCCAGAGAAGTTGCCAAGATCAATAAAACATTTGCCAATTCCGAGCCTCTAACTTGATCGGGCGAATTGCAAAAGATTTACGAAAATTGTAACACATGCTGGA